ATTCGGTCCCGCAACCTGCGAGTCAGCAGCCAAGTACCTTAGCCACTAGGCCATCGCGGCGAGGTGGTTATCGGCGCTTGTCTGGTGCACTGATTGCCCCGTTGGAGTTTCGCTGAAAACATGATTAAAACGTTTCTTAATTTGTGTGCATGAATGGCACGAAGAAACACGACGGCTGGTAAGCAGTGAATAGGACGGAATATTGGCGAGCTAAATTGAGTAGCACATGAAAGCAGCATTAGTTTTAGCACACAAATGGTATACTACCAGTTTTCTAAGACTGACTAGGCACATTCCTTTGTTCATAGGTTAGTAACTCATCAAAAATTTTATACATTGCAAGATATTATGTCAGGCCTTATAAGATACATTCATCCCCAATTTCGCGGTGCTCGCCATTGCACTGATGAAAAGCAGTTGTGTTAGCTGTGCGACATTGTTTTCGTTACACTGAATAGCTTAGTTGTGGCAGTGCCAGCACGGCTTGGAAGTTTTGCTCATGTATGAACCCAGGTTTATTACTTGTACGATTGCTTGCAAAAAAGCCACAGTCGATCTCTGCGCTTCTCGAGAACCACACCAACTTCTCCCTTTTCATGCGCATGTAACAAGAGTGATGCTTGCTTTACCGCAAAGCAGGCCAAATTTGGTCTAGCGACCGCTCTCTAGCAGACGACGTGGTGAAAGCCCCACCCACAGCTGTCATTGCGCTTGCGAGTTAGTTTCCGAAGCACCCTGCAGAGGCGCTCCTCAAAGCGCCGGCCTACAGTTCATGTACATGCTACCTCTTGGTATATGCTACCGACTACGCCAGCCGCACAGCGCGGTGCTCAGAGTAAAAGTGCACGGCGCTGTACATGAGCGACAGTCCGTGGATTGTCCGTGGGGAAGTCCGAGTCATCATCCGGAAAAGCGTTGGGTCTCTACCAGTTCCGGTGGTCGACACTGGGAGCGGCAGAGTGGGCGAAGAGCGCGCCAGACAGATGTTGTGGGCAGCGGTGATGCAACGCTTCGAGGCATTTGTGGCAACGGGCATCGACAACACCAGTGGTCACCACCGTGAAGATGGCTTAGTGAGGGCGATGCGGAGCTCGATAACAGCTCGTGCGGGTAGGCGTCAGAAGTCTTGCGAGATCGGCGCAGGTGCGAACGTTGGTGAGATGTTGACGCTGTCTGCGGGGGGTTTGGGCATGGGCACGCAGTCCGGAGGTCACTGGAACGCTGTAGAAGAGGTGGCAGGGAGGCGCGTTGAATAGAGATGGGCAGGCGGCTTGAGCTCATGGCGTACCTAGTTGACACCGATGCTGGCACATCTGTCGCGCCGACCTGCGCAGCTCTGATTATACCGACTGCGTCGTTAAATGTCGTACAAGGAGTGCTGATCCGTTTCAAGCCCTTCGGCGCTGTCCCCAGAGATGTTCGGCAGCAAGTCGGCATCCACAGGAGACTTGTACTGTGTCAGAATATAAGACGTCGCGTATGGCTACGGGACCACTTTGTCGAGCCGGCACAGGAGAACTTGGGTGCGGGATGGCATGCTGACCATATGCTTGCGTGGCCGGTGAATCACGATCGGTTCGCTCCACCGCAGGCAGAACTGGAGCGTCATCCTCAGTCGTTGTCGTGCTGCTGGCGTAGAAGATGGCAGCTGGTTAGGTTACCATGCCACACGTGGTGTCAGCGAACACGTTACGGGTAGCGCCGGTTTGGCTGTCGCACACCGAGTCAGTAGGCGCTGAAGTCGTCACGCTCACTGACGTGTCCAAAGGCGCCGACCGGTCAACCAAAGGCCAATCTCTTGGTGGCGTACGCTGCGATACATCAGCGGAGTCGGTTGTCACAGGACGCTCACCTATCTCGTTGTTGTGGCATAGTGCTGCACAAAATTCAGTCGAGGAGAACCGCGAGCGAGAAAATTTCCGGAGCCTTTCACTACGGCGTCTCTCATAATTATATGGTGGTTTTGGGACGTCCAACCCCACGTATCAATCAAAATCACGAACAAGGCTTGATCAGTGTGGAGGAAGCACCATCCGTGTGGTCCGTCCCTGGTCCGAGGCGAAGTTCAGCGCCACAAAACCGAACGAGAGCATCCCGTAGTGCGTTATATGGGCGGAGGCTCCAACAGTACTACGTGAGGCGTCGTTTCAGGACGGGTGGAAGAACATACTTCAGAACCTCGAACATGACATCTTGGAACCAGAGGCTGTTGAGCTCCAAGGCAGCCTCGAACTCTTGGAACCACGACTCGATGTCAGAGGTCCGGAGTGGTGGTAGAGGGGAGTCAAATTGCGGCTGCAAGGCTCGATCTGGCTGGAACATGGCCGCAAAGCTCAAAGGCAGCGGTGCAGTGCCGGTCACTTGTCCGTTGTCACCAACTGGTTGAGATACGTGAGACGACATGGCGGCGATGAGCCCATGCCGAGGTCACAGCTTTATTTGGGACGCAGGCGTAGGTGGAATCGCAGCTGCAGCGTCCTGTTAAGCCAGAAGCTAAGCCGTTCTCTTCTCGTGCCTCGCGCATCACGTGCCATGCGGCTCCCTTAGTTTTCGGCGCAGCCAGCTGACCAAATCTAGCGTGGCATTACACATATACAAAGAGCTCGCTATTACTATGCTTGAGAAAATATGATTTGAGGCCAAGTTCTTTGGCCACAAATCTTTGGCCAAGTTATTTGGCCACTACCTCTGTCTTGTGGCTAAGACAGAAGTAATGGGTTAAATTTCTGGTGGCAGAACTTACTCTTTCAGTTTTTTTCTTTGTCTTCTGGTAATTATACTTTGGAACACCATATCCGGGACGGTAATATATCAGCAAAATCTTGGTGAACAACGTCATTAAATACATTCCATTTGAAAAAATACGAAGGCCTATGCCAAGCAAACACACTCAGTGCTAAAACTGTGCTGAACCCATGCTAACTCATTGCGTAAAAACTGAATTTAGTTCGGGTTCCCACGTATCCTTCGGCTGCTGTGAAGAAGGCTTTGCCAGCACGTTTTCAATCAGCGGTTGGCGGATCTCAGGTTTGAGAATTGTTTTCATGCTATTCGGTTTACTTTACTGTACGTCCATATTATTTGAACATCCTTCAGGCATCTCCTGTGCAAAAAGAATGTTTTTTTTGTGACTGTGGCAAGCTTAAAAGGCAGAATTTTCAACTTGGGGTTGTGAACTGTCAATTTTACCGACTTCGTAATGATGAGGTTTCCCTGTATCACGGCGTTAAACTTAGAGTACAACAAACTGCGAGCTATTTTTAGACTTTCATTACAGCTGAAAATATGCTAATCTCCGAGTTGCGTCAGTGTCACAAACGCTCACTATAATAACTATCTAAGAGATGGGACAAACCGCCCAAGGACGCCATGTTGGTGCTGCAAGTGAGCAGAAAATCCTTTAGGATGTAAAGAAAAATACGAGAGCTTCGGCCGGAATCCAACCCGGACATTCTGCGCAATAGTAGAGCCACCATGCAGCGCCAATGCTATGAACGGCTTGGAATGTCAGGTGAAGAGCCGCGTTACATGCATCCTGAAATGCTTTCAACGCTTTTCAGTAAACACATCGAGGTAGATGACCTAAGGATAACGTGCATAGCGCAATAAAGCGCAAGCGCTGTTGCAATTGTGAGAAATTCTGGTGCACTAATGCGGAAGACACATCGGCATTTCTTGGTCTCTCCTAAAGGCCTCAATAAGGTCGATTAACAAACAAACCCTTAGGCGCCTGCAGATCGACACCTGTGATGTGTCCTGGAATAGGGGAAATAAAAAAAACTGCAGGAAGGGGAAGATAAAAGCTTTCGATGAAAACATCCGTACACAGAGTAGTGTCGAGTCAACCTTCAACACAAATTCGCTTGCCGAAACGTCTACGCGACACAGCACTTGTTTAAGAAATTTCTCATTTGCAATAGTAAAACATTTTCGCCAGAGTGTTGATGGGTGGTGCCGTGATCGCGGGTGCGTCTCCGCTAACTTTTGCATGGTGTAGGCATGTCACATTAATGCTTCTCTTCCCCTAGACCATCCCGTACTCGTGGCATATGGGAGGTTGCCCTACTTAATTGCTCGACACTGTAAGCTCCCAGAGCTCTAGTCCAACGGTCCTGGGTAGAACTCCTGTCCAGTGAGGTTCCTGGGATAAGAAATGCCCTTAGGGAAAGAGCGCTCTTAAGCTTACGAACTTTCGTTTATTTGCCTTTGGTAACACAGGCCTCGAGGAGGCATCGGCGCTATTGTCCATCTCTCACCTGTATATATCCTGATCACTTGTAATTCATTACAGGCTCATGGATCAGATCACGTATCATTGCCATAATTTTTCTTCAAGTTGAGATCTTCTACTCATGTTTACAGAGAGCCATAATATACATGGTACTTTTTGATCACTTATGGTTCTTGCGTCACAAAACTTTTCTAATCACCAAAATTGTATTGAATATGTTTTACAGACGTGCAGACGCACACACACCCATGCACGCACTGCGTATTGTGAAATTTCTTAAAAGACATATTCTCCGAATCGCTACGGATCGCAGCAGTTTAGCCAATTGAACTTTATACTGCCCACTTCCATTATACGTACCAAAGGGTGCAATGAACTAAACCTAAATGCTAAATGCAGATGATGGGCACCGCACTATATAGCTTGCCCAACTGTAGAGTGACACAGTAGGGAAGAAGCGTTTGCTTACCGCAACTGTTACTGCTTTTGAGCGGATGCGCATGTCACTTCTGTGCGAGTGACAAAAGCGTTTGAAGTGGTCATGGATTCACTCATCTTCAGGATACGCTTTAGGTCCACCGGATCAAGTTCTAGTGTTCATCACTACACTGACGGCCTTTGCACAAGGAAGTCTGTCTAATACATGTTCATCTACGAGCAGTGTGCATAAAATATTGCTGATAAATGCACTCGCAGAGCGTATGATATGCACACCTTCTGGTAGTTGCTTTTATCAGGTGTTATACTAAGTTTGTTTTTTGTCATACAG